GATAGGTCTGCCAGCTCTTTGCAAAAGTGTAAACGGCTACCGTTATTAGGAGAAGATTGATGGTCCACCCACATCACCTGCATCTGCATGAAAAAAAAAAAAGATAGCTCTATTTTAGCCAGATGAGATGCCAAGCAGCTTTGGCTTCTTAAGCTCACAAGTTCCCAGAAAAAAGCATGGGGGAGAAGAAATGTGGGCCCACCCCAGGCTATACTGCCACATAGCTGAGGTCTAACTATATCAGTGCTTCTTTCCATTTCCAGGAAACCAGATCTCGAATTGAGAGTCTCATTGGTTGGCTCTCATTAGGAGTGTGAATGGTCCAAGATCTAAGCACTCTGTCTTCTCCCATGTCCCTCTTAATGTATATTTATAAATTTACAGAAAGTCAGAACATGTCACTAATTAAAATAGGAAAAAACTATCTTTCCTTAGTAATAATCAAGGACACACTAAAAGAAATTGTACCATTTTATATCTATTTGATTCTAAAAATGAGAAATGAAGAAATCTAGTTTTGTGAGGTTGTGCCAAAATTGGTGTGATTCACATCACTAATGTCAGAAGTCTGTTTCATCCTCTAGAGAGGCACAGTGACAACTACCACCAAATACTAAGCGGGGATTTCTATCTTGGGGTGTAGCAATATATCTCCATTAAAATTTTCAAGGGAATTAGTGTTTTTTTTTTTTAAGTAGCGTGTATAGGTACATTTATCTATAATAGACAAATATTGAAACCCCAAGAGAAACGTTTCAGTTAAATTTTGTGTGACTGTTGTAATTAAAATGAAAAACATAAACCTACTTAGAAACATAAGGAAGTGTTTGTGATGCAATTATAGATGAACATACAAAGGATTTAAAAGGTTAAAATATGTAAATGTATGGATAAGTACTGGCAAATGAAATATCTTTGTTGGAGTGGCAGGGAATTGAATTTTTAAATGTCTTCCAGTGTTTTATTTATATCATCTTTTGAATATACCAACCAAAAAGAAAGAACATCAGCTTTCCAGTTGAATTCTCCCCATACTCCACAGGTATGAAGGGATGAGAGGACCATCCTTGTTATAACATTGATGGGTGTTAATGAATCATGTACTTCCTGTGCACACAGAGGCTGCATGAGTCCCAGGCAGAGAAAAGTCTTAGAATCAGAGTCTGGCAAATAGTTGCTAGGCTGTATACCTGCTTCTTCCACTTGCTTGCTTTGCAGACTTGACAAAACTGTTGCCACATCTAATCTTTTTGTGAATTGTGAAATGGACATGATAATTGAAACATTTTCTCAGAGGTACTAAGAGTAATCAGTGAGATTAAGTATTTTTTTAAAGATTTTAAAATTTTTATTGGAAAGTCAGATATACAGAGAGGAGGAGAGATAGAAAGGAAGATCTTCTGTCCTATGATTCACTCCCCAAGTGGCTGCAACAGCTGGAGCTGAGCTGATCTGAAGCCAGGAGCCAAGAGCCAAGAGCCAGGAGACTTTCGGGTCTCCCATGCAAATGCAAGGTCCCAAGACCTTAGGATGTCCTTGACTGCTTTCCCAGGTCACAAGCAGGCAGTTGGATGGGAAGCAGGGCCACCAGAACATGAACAGGCCGGTGCATATATGGGATCCCAGTAGGTACAAGGTGAGGACTTCAGCCACTAGGCTACTGTGCTGGGCCTTAGATAAGGTACTAATAATGATGCTGGCAGCAGTTACTTAAAAGATACTGCTCAAGTGACACTATCTCTATATGTGAAGCCAGCCATAAATTATCAGATACTTTTATTGAGTTATATATTTTTATTCTTATTTGACAAACAACACGATGTATAATTAATTGTGAGCTATAGCATGATGTTTTATCACATGTACACATGTGAAATGATCAAGCCTAGTTGAATAACAATTAGATACACCCCATGTATATCATTTCTTTGTGTTAAGAATATTTAAGATTTTCTCTTTTAGCTATTTGGTAATAGGCACGATTAAATATTACCATGAAAGTGTACTGTTAATGAACTTTAAAATATATATGTATATTTTTTGAGCAACTGTAGGTTCAGAGTAAAACTTAGGCAAAACTTCTCCATATATCCTTTATCCTAACACCCTCATAGCTACAGCCTTCCCACTGATAAAATCACACACTAGAGTGCCACACTCGTTACATGATTGACTTTCACTGGCACTCTTTATCAGGCAACTTCCACAGTATACTTTTGGGCTCACTGTTGGTGTGGTTCATTCTGTGGGTTAGGCAAATGCATAACTTCCCTCTGCTGTTGTAACATAAGCCAGTGCTAAAAGGGGCACCTTCAGCTCTCCAAATCCTCCATGTTTCGCCTATTCATCCCTCTTACCTCTCACCTTGGCAACCGCTAACAACTTTTACTCTTTCCACAGTCTGGCCTTTCCCAGAAAGTCATATAATTAATTGGAGACACGCAGCATGTAATCTTTATATATGGGTTTAGTTTTCAAACATTTTAAAATAACTAGTCTAGATGTAAAAGAAAATTTCAAAATGTTTTCAAATTTTCCAAGATTACAAAAATATATTTGCTATCACAGATTGTTTTAGGTTCCTATTAACTATTATCTATTTTGATAAGAATGATTATGGGGCCCAGCACAGTGGTCTAGCCGCTAAAGACCTCACCTTAAAAGTGCTAGGATCCCATATGGGCGCCAGTTCTAATTCCGGTGGCCCCACTTCCCATCCGGCTCCCTGCTGGATTTTTAGCATTGGGACCGTCACCTTTCTCATTCAGCTTACTCAAATCCAACTTAGATCTGCTTCCCAGAATCAGAAGGTGTTAGAATGTGTCATATCACTCCCAGGCAAATAGCCTTTTGGATATTTCCCTTGAAGCCCTCAGGATAAAAGTGCCAATTGTGTACAATGCCTTATCCAGCACACCATGAGCTGCCCCTGTTTACCTGGCCTGCACATCTGTGCCCACTCAGCTGCTGAGTTTCTCTGCTCCTGAACACACGCACATTCATTAAACTGGGCCCAAGCACCCCAGCCTTGGTAGTGCCCTCCCGTCTTCTCAGAAACCTCCCCTCTCTTTATCTTCCTCTAACTAACTAAATGCTCCTCATCTCTCTGGTTTCCACTCAGATACCACTCCTTCTGTCTGTCCTCATTGGTCCCCAAGTTAGGATACAGCAGGAGTATTCTGTGCTGGTCAGATGCTCATGGAATACTTTTGGCAGTACCTGGCATCTTGTACTCCAGGGCTAGAGACAGGAACCAGGGTAGTAGGTGGGCAGAAGTGTTCTAGGACAAGCCAGGCTCTCAGTAAATGACGTCAGGGATACTATCTCCCACAATCTTCTTGAGGAAACCAAACCTCAAGGAAGTTGAACAACTTGCTCAATGTCCCTCAATGGTAAATGGTAGAGTATGACACCTGAACGCAAAATCTGTATAAGTTCAGAGCCTCTGCCTGCCATCTCTACACAACACCACCTCTAAGAACATCACTGTCACTGATTTAGCAAGAAGATCGAAATTGTTTAACTAGAAGGAAAAATGACCAAGGAGAAAAAGGACAGCTATGTCACTCAAACAGTTGAAAAGTCACTGCAGAGTGTCAGGCAAGTCAGTGTGCAACAGAACAGGGAGGTTCTACAAAGGAGACGCTGAGCCCTGATGGGAAAGGCCCACATGCCAGTCATCTAAGATGCTCCCATGAGGCCTGGCAATGGAAGGAAACAGAGCTGCCCAACTGTAGTAAAATGGAACGCTCCACACTGACAGTAAAGTCCCCACTGACATTGCCCAGGCTGGGCTGCCTGGCCCTGCCAGGGCACCATGGGAGACAGCAGAGCAGGGACCCTGCATATTCTGCACCCCAAACCCGAGGCCTCTGACACGCTTGGCCCTCAGGGATTCCACAGGCATCAGACCGAGTCTGTGCCCGACGTCAGCAAGCCCCGGATGACCTGCCACTGACCACTGCATTGAGGCCTCTGAAAACAGAGAACATGAGTGGATGGAACTCTGGGCTTCCAGAACCCAGCCTCTCCCAGCCACAGCCAAAGGAGGCAGACAAGATTCCCAGTAACTCCGGTAAACTGGAGACTGCCCAGCCATGTTCCAAAATGTCTGATCTGGGACCACAGACATTGATGTCACTCTGGAGAAAGGCCCTGCCTGTGGGCTTCAGCGCTGTCACAGGAGCTGACAGAGGAAAGGAACATACCTTCCTGACAGGTGGTGGAGACAAAAGTCAATGTCAACAATGAACTCTGACAGTCACTTGCTGGAACGAACCAAAGGGGCCCTGCAGGATGCACACAAGTGTGCCCTGGGTCCTCACATGCAAGTCCCCTTTCACTCTGTGCCTAGGGACCAGTGGTAAAACATTCAGAAGGCCCCTGGGCCTCACAGAATCCCTACAGAGCCCAGCAGAAACAAGTGCCTTCTGCCCCACCTTCCTGGAGGGTGCACACTCTGACAAGCTGATGGCATCTGCTTAATGTGATCAGAGCTTCAGCTTCCCTGTGCATAGATCCATGCCCCTAACAGGACCAGTGCCTGCTGGGGCACTGGGCCCCTAGTGAGCAGGACACCTTAGCTGTGGGCCTGCTGCAGCCTCAGTCAGCATACCATACACACAGCCAAACACAACCCTCATGAGTGAGGCAAACTTCACTTCCTGTGCAACATTGTAAGGAAGTATAAAACTCCTATCCTCATCTTTGGGCCTAAGAGCACCTGCTGGGCCAACTTCAGCATTCCACATCATGGTTCTTCCACTCTCCTTCTATAGGCCACTCTCCCATCTGCCACCTGCTTTCCTTGTACTGTAAACAGTGACAAATTATTTTTAAACCAAGTATCTGGAGCTGAGAGGTACTGAGTAGGGTCTGAAGACTGATGCATGAGGTTCCGAGGCCATAGCTTGCAGAAATGAGTGTCACCTGCAGGAAGGCAGAGACAGTCACTGCACACAGCTCCAGGAGTCAGGGACATGGAAGCAGAAGCTACTTACAGAGACAGATGTCCACCAGGAACACGATGTACACCAGCAGCTCCCGCAGGGTGGTCTTAACATAAAGCTCCCGGTTCTCAGCTGTGTTCTCTGTCAGGGTCGTTCCCCAAAGTCCTAAGGGGCATTGGGAGAGTGATCAGGATGCCTGACAGCAGTGTTGTTCCCAGCTACCCCCACTGCTCTGCCCTGGAACTGTACCCTTTTCCAGCTGAGTTTCTCATGCCCATTGTCTTGCCCCTTGACTGAATCTGCCCACTTCCCGCTGCCCACACCTGTGCCTGCACTCTCCGACTCCATGAGGCAGGCAGGGTGGGTGCCTTGGATCCTACAGAACAAGGCAGGAAGGAGGCACCTGAGCCAAATGGGACAGTGTATGGAAGTACTGTGCCCAGGTCCTCACTCAGCCTGACACCCATGTGCCCCTCCTTAGAGATGACCACACTAGGTTTCCCCCTTTGGACCCGAGCATGGCCTCAGCACTGGGGCAGGCAGCTCTAACCTAGGCAACTCACAAACCCCAGTGATTTCATGTTTTCTTTGGAACACCTCTTACTTAGACCCTCCACCCCATGATTTCCCCAAACCCCCCTTTACCCTGTGCATACCTCTGATGCCACGTTGGACCCTCAGGCAACAGCTGGACATCAGGGTCCTTGGTCTTCCTTTCTGCGGGACATCCTCAGGCTTCATGGGTTGGGGTTGTTGAGGCACCACACTGGTGATGGTGCAGATCCTCAGTGTCCCGTGTGGGGAAGAAGGACTGCTGTAGGCAGGGTTATCCCAGGCTTCACTCTCCAACTTGTGCTGCTCCTGTCTCTGGAAACCTTCTTCATGGTCCATGGGGAGCAGCAGAGACCTAGTTCCCCACGTCGTCCACTCTCACTTAGAGAAAGAAAGAGCAAATGATAGGCAGCCCAGCTAGCAGAGGGCAAGGAGGGGAGCTTAAGAGCCGCTGCTGTCACCAGCTCTGTCTGCAGCCTTTGCCAGGTAATCCATGCACAGAGGGGAGGGGAAGGAAGGGAGCAGAGGGGAGGGGCTGAGCATCCATCCTGCCAGGGGCTTTTTCCCTCCCTCTCCTCATTCTTCCCTTGCTCCTTCCCTATACCTGCAAGTCCCAGGAGATGAGAGGAATAGGTGCAAGGGAAGTGGGAGTCAAATGTTGAAGACATGAGAGAGGGGAATATGAGGGAGGAGTGGGGCTAGAAGTGGGAGGAGGGTTGGGAGAAAAAGCCCACTGCAAGAGATGAATATGGAGAGAAGTGAAGATGAAGGCGAGAGACTAGGACTGCATTGCGGGTCTGAGCTCATTTCCATTAAAAGCTCCTCAAAGGGCTAGCATGGACTGGGTTGGGGATGAAGGCCAGGATGACAGACTGGTCAGTGTCGCATCCCTTCCCAGTGCAGCCAAGAGGTCTGAGCCTTCTTTATATTTTCCCCATAACTGTCCCTGGTCAGTGGACAAGCAGGGCCCCTCCTCCACAGTGCAGGAATGGGGAGCTGCAAGGCTTCTCTGTCCCAGCACTGAAGGGGTAGGACCTGTGACCCTGTCAGTCACAGAAAAGGACATCCGGTTCCTTCTTCTAATATCTGCTAACCCATGGCTTGGGGGCAAGGCACAGCCATGGAAGATGTGCCTTAGCAGATGGTGCTCAGCTCAGGAAAAGGCCAATTCCTGTCAGGGATGCATCATAGAGCAACGGACAAGGACTTTTACTGGCTTCCTACAGGAACTGGATGTCAGGCCATGGTTGGGCTGGTCTTTGCCTGAGGCACTGCTTGATAGTGAGCCTAGACTGAGCCTGAGCACAGAAGAGAAGCCTTTATGTTCGTCAGATGTGCCAGGATGGGTCTTGAGAGATGTCAAGAGTAGGGGACATCAGGAGTGGTCTGTGGGGGAAAGGGGACTTCAACTTGACCTGTCTTTTGAGCCTCAGACTGCTTAAAACCCCATTGTGAGTGCTATAGTGCAGTGGGGTGGGCCATCACTTGGGACAACTGTATTCCATATCCCAATCCAGCTCCATGCTTATTCACCCAGAAGGACAGCAGGTCCTCAATTACTTGTACCCATACCACTCACATGAGAGACCCTGGCAAGAGCTTTTGGCTCCTGGCTTCACCTGTTCCAGCACCAGCTATCATCAGCATTTAGGGAGAGAACCAGGTGAAGAAATATTCTGTGAGTGCACCCCTTTTTGTTTTTACAGAAATAAACAAATTTGAATCCTTGGGGAGTGAACCTTGGAGAGTAAACAAAAGAGAATCCTTGGCATTACCCCTGTAGCATACACACCCTAGAGCTCTGGGCTCTGATCACGTCCTCTGGCTTCCCACCATCCATGTGCTATAGTCCCACAGGTGCTTGTAGGGGACCTCAAGTCCTCCACCCTTGCTGACTGGAGGGAGACTATCCTTTCCTAACCCCTGGTTCTCATCCCAGGGCTACTCCACTACTAGGCACTGCTTCAGTGGCCTAGCACTGCCTTCCCTAGTGGAAAGCACGCAGTCTTCAATATCCCTTGTAAAGGAATCGTGATCCTAAGGGCCAGGTTTAGCCTTTTTTAACTTTTTCCATTTTTTAAATTATATTTTTTGACAATCTTTACATAGTTAATTAGGGTAAAAAGGTTCAAGGGCTACAGGAAAGAGGGCAAGACTATTATTTCCATATTGTTTCCTTCATGTATCTGAGGTAAAGGGGGATTTTAAGGGAGAAGCCCCACCCAGTCTCCCACCCACCCTAGGTCCCAGATGTGGGGCATGCTCCGAAATTCTTGCTCAAGTGGTTTGATAGTTTACCAGTTATGAATTGCTGCCATTCTCACCACTCCAAGCACAATGAGGTTGTTGAAGAATCCACTGATTGACATAGTCCATCATACAGTCTCGTTTGCCCAGTATTTCACTGCCAATATATAGCTGAGGTGGTTGATTGACTTGTTCCATCTTCTGTCTTTTCATTGTTAGGGTTCTGAGTCCAGCAGTTCGATTGGGAAGATCTCCAAACAGTCTTTGTCTGAGGTGTTCCTAGACCAGATTCTTATATGTACTAGCAAGTACAGGGCCTGGCACAATCCATCGCCCCAATCTGCTGGTGCTTTCAATTGTTGGATTGGTTCTGTTTTCAGCCCCAAATTCCACTGGAACCAATGGGTGTTGTAGTCCAGCCTGGTTCTGCCCAGCACATATTCAGCCCTCACATAAACCAGTGGGAGCTGCAGCCTAGTTGGGGTGACCCACAATAACCCCCACCAGGCTCACCCACTATCCTGGTTTGCCAGTATGTGTAACTGACTAGTCCAGTCTGTCCCACATCCCCTTCAGCTCTCGTACATGTCAGTGGGTATTAAAGCTTAGTTCCATCTAACCAGCTCAACTATCCAGCCCTCACGGATGTTGTTGGGTGCCTCTCTGTCTAGGTACCCCAGCCTAGTTTTCGTGCCCTCCCATGGGAGTTGTAACCCAAGAGGGAGAAGCCCACTATTTCCCTCCCAGGCCTCTCCCACTTCCAGATTATGCACTCTCCAGATGGTTCTGTGGTTTGACTTGAGAGAATTAGCCCCAGTGCCAGCTTCTGCCAGCTGATGCTACAGCTGCAGCCTTAGCCTCTTGATAAATAAGTGTACACCAACCTCAAACATAGGGTTCATAAGAGTGGTTATCATACTCTTCGGTCTACTATACAAGTCTCCTGTCCCCGGCCCTGGCACTATTAAGGGATCGGACTACAGATAAGGAACGCTCAGTGAGCTTTCACTGGGAAGAAGTATCCATCTTTCCATTTTTTCCAGCCAGCAAGGCCCACTCCAAGGCATCTGTGTTCTCTGGGAAGAAAAAAATCTGAGGAACTATGGTACTATCAAACATTCTGTCTTAAATCAGCTGGTCTGGAAGGAAATGGCAGCTGCTGTCTCCTACCCATGAGCTTTTTCATCAGTTGCCACAGGGTCTTTGACTTGTGAAACTGAACTTCAGGATGGAGATGGGAGAGGGAGAGAGTGGTGAACAGGAAGCCACAGTACAGTCCACTGCTGAGAGAAACTGGAGATGGTTTCCAAGTCCCTTGGGGCTAATTTGAATTCTGGAGGAGGCCAGTGACAAGTGGGGTGGACTCAAGAGGTGCAGCATGTGATGCAGGTCACTCCTCGGAGCACACCATGGCTGGACAGCTTTATTCATGGCCACCTCCTGGGATACAACCCTGAGCTCTCCCCTGCTCAGGGCTGGGCCTCCTCATGTGGATCACTCCCATAGCCTCATGAGCCTGATGTAACACAGCTTGAGAAATATTTCCAGAAGGTGCCATGTTTTCCTGTGGCAATTCAACTTACTCAAGAAGTTGCAAATGTGGTAATCAAGTGGAATCTGCTGGTGATGTTTTGTAAAGATTTATTTATTTTTCTTTGGAGGAGGAGAGACAGAGAGGAAGATCTGTTTGTTGGTTCACTCCCCAAGTGTTTGCAAAGGCTGGAGCTGAGGTTATCTGAAGCTAGTATCCTGGAGCTTCCTCCAGGCCTCCCATGCGGGTACAGGGTCCCAAGGCTTTGAGCTGTCTTCAACTGCTTTCCCAGGCCACAAGCAGGGAGCTGGCTGGGAAGCTGGGGCACCAGAACACAAACCAGCACCCACACGGGATTCCTGCACATGCTAGGCAAGGATTTTAGCCACTAGGCTACCGCATACATCTCCTTACCCTCAAACTTCTACTGGCACTACACAATTCCTGTTACAAAGAGCAGGTAGTCAGAGGCGTCCTGAGGCATGGGCGTTCTCTTACCCAGTTTAGCAATACCTCTCAGAACTTTGAGTTTCAATTTGATTTGAATTTCTGGGTTTTTTTTTAAAGATTTATTTTATTTTTATTGGAAAGGCAGATATACAGAGAGGAGAGACAGAGAGGAAGATCTTCCGTCCGATGATTCACTCCCCAAGTGAGTGCAACAGCCGATGCTATGCCGATCCAAAGCCAGGAGCCTCTTCTGGGTCTCCCAAGCGGGTGCAGAGCCAGGATTAGAACAGGCGCCCATATGGGATCCCAGGCGTGCAAGGCGAGGACCTTAACCACTGCGCCATCGCGCCGGGCCCAGAATTCCTGGGTTTTAAATGTTGGCTCAACAACACCCTAGCAGTGTGGGTGGGTTTTAGAGTAGTTTCTGCAAAGTATTGAGAACAGTGTCTACCCTGCTGACCTGTAGGACTATTTCAGAATTACATTAGTCAAACTTACAAGTCTCTGTAGATCGAGTATTCCAAAGCACAAAGTGAATCTATGGATCTTACCATAGTGTTCATTCTGTGCATTCCACTTGCACATAACAATTCATGGGCATCACTAGCCATCACTGACATTGTTTCTGAGGGATGTGCATCCAAGGACTGTATCTGTCCACTCAATTCCATTTCCAGTGGCTGACACCAGCAGAATGAAATGATGCCTCTATGGATGGAGAGATTACAAAAGGGATCCTTGAAGGAAAGCTCGTTTAAGATGAGGCTCATCAGAAACAAAGCACCTCTTCGTCAGGATACCTGTTGAATCAGCCTCTTTGCCTCACTAAGCAGTTTGCTCACACACTCCATTCTAGGACAGCTCTAAGGGAGATGATGACTCCTTTTCTGCCACCAGTACTCTCTCTTTCCATACCGTGTCCATTCCCACCAACCTTCACTGTGGTACTCAAGTCCACTAAACCCAAAGGCAGCAAAGTTTACAGAAAGGAAACCTATGACTCATCCCCTTGTACATTCTGAGGAGACTTTTGTAATATGTCACCTTGCATATTCTAAACCAAGCACCCCTGGAGTAATTCTCACTCCAGACTCTACAAGGAAAACAATCT